CCCCCCCCCCTTCCTTAGCTCATGTTCCTTGTCGGCTGCAATCCCATCAGGAAACTTGGGTTTAAACCACCAGTACATGGCCGAGCCAAAGCTGAGAATCACGAATGAGCCTCGCTGAAAATTTTGGGGCTCCAGGAAGGTCCCGTAGAGCAACGGGGGGGAGAAAGCCGGTGGGCCCAAGGAAAAGGCCCGGGGCAAATGGACTGCAAGATGTCCTGCTTGTTTATGCCGTGCACAGCTGGAGCAATGGATTCCCTGTGCAGCCCCTTCCATCTCAGGGCATTCTCACACTAAGCATTTGTCAGAATGTATCTGACTGCATTTATGACTGGCCATGAATGAATCTGAAGGCAATCACATTCAGAGATCAGTATGCCTTTTTTTATCTTCTGTTCTTTTTTTTTAATCATAAGAAAAAAGAAGAATATCGGCGCTTTCCGATCTGACTCCTTGTGAGAGGCCGGGAGCGATCGATTCCCTGTCAGACCCTTTCATTTCAGGGGGCATTCTCACACTACCGTCTTCACCCGAATAGAACGCCCGGTAATTATCGCCGTATCGGGGCTGAAAGTTGTGCCAAATACAGCTATAATGACCGGGCGTTCTATTCGGGTGAAGACGGTAGCACTTTCCTGAATCTATTTGACTGCAATTACGGCCAGAATTACGGCCAAGCCTGGGGTGCCAGATGAGTGAAAACTAGAAAACGACAGCCTGTCCTGGCAGCTAGTTCCATAGGTTTCATTTCATAGCTGATCTGCACTACATAGGTGCCGGGTTCTAATCCATCCTGTTGCTGTCATTTTCAGTTTCCTGAGGAGGATGGCCAGGGCCTGTCCACAACGCTGGACTGCTCATAGCTCTGTACCCACCACAATGCGGGAGCTTCAGGCCAGGTTGAAGTGGCCGCTCAGGTCCTGCCGAGGGCCGCTCGTGACCCACCCGATGAAAGAATTCTTATCATCAATTCTCTGTCAGAATCATCATACTTGCTGACATTCATGGCTCTCAATTACGATGGCTATTGGGGTCGAGTTGAAACGCCTCAGTTTCACAGTATACTTGTAGAGGGGGTTTAAATTTGCAACATACAGGCCTCCTTTTGTCATGATTGGTGATTATTGAGCTTCTGTTTTGACTAGTAATTTCTCAGGCAAAACAGAAGGTTGATAACCAATAATTACGACATACAATCCACAATGACTTCCACAGTAATCTGGAAAGACTGGAATTACATTAAAAAAACAAGTGGACCCCGCCACGGCTACGCCGTGGGATGTCGTCCCATTTTTGTTTCATGTCTCTCTCTCTCTCTCTCTCTCTCTCTCTCTCTCTCTCTCTCTCTCTCTCTCTCTCT